TAAAAAAACAATAAACTCCGATTTTTAATTTAGTAAATATGTAAGTGAAACATCATTGCTTTGAATAATTAGAGCTGTCCTGAATATTATTTTGAGCTTTGACACTTGTGTTGCACATGTTTGATTTAGAACCAAATAATTAAATGTATTTTTGAACATTAATTATAAATGACATTAAAGTATTTTCTATGTCGTTGTTTTCACACAGTTCACAGTGTCTCTCTGAGAACAATATATAATAATCTGAAGATGATTAACTTTTCAGACAACAGGTCAACAAATCTGTACTTTAGTTAAGTTTTCCTGTTTTTTCTCATGATGAATCACATCGCTACTGTCTGTAGGTTTGTGCCCGGCTGTGGAAGTTTTGGGTTCTGATGAAAACTGACTGTACTGGAAACACTTGACATTTTCTTAATTATATGTATGAAACCTCCTTGATGTAACGTTGGCTGTTTTTTTTTAAATTCATTCATTCAAATTTATTCATTTAATTTAAAAAACAAAACAAATTCACATACAAAAAAATACAAATCAAATTAAATGAAAGGTAGCAGAAAGAAAAAAACAACTTATAATATTTATAATGAACCTGAACAAAAAAACAGCACCTACCCAGTGAGTACATATCAAACTAATTGAAATATCAGGTGTGGCCCAGAAAAAAATATATACTCTTTAGGGAATTTTAGCCATAATAACTGCCAACAGAGACAATAAATGTTGGTTTAATTAAAAAAAAGTATGCATGAAAGTAAACTAATTTTAACTCCTTGTAGTGGTCTCTGCTTTAACAACATTCTCATGTTTTTCTTACAGTTTTTTCTGTACATAAGTGATGCAATGCATATCATTACAAAATGTCTGAGACAAGCTAGACAAACAAGTCGATGTGAAAGCTCAGAGGCATTCATCTGTGGCCTGATAAACAAGTGGAAAGATGCTAATGACTTCCTTATACAATTCAGATCATGCAAAAGAGRCAGAGGAATTGCTGGCTTCTGGTTTCGCCCTTGTCACAGGAGTCATGGCTGCATGTGTGGCGCCTTGCCCCACGAGATATGTGCAGACAACTTTGCTGTTTAATGTGGTTGTGTTCCTAGCAGCGTAGCACAACAATTCAACTCCCAGCTAATTGGCTCGCTCCATAAAAAAAGAAAGTGTGTCAACAACTAAATCCATAACTCTGCTTTAAAGTTAAGCTGTGCAGCTCTGCAGAAAGACACAACAAACCGCCCCAGCTCCTCGTAATTCACCCGTTTGGAATTCAACTAACCCCATTAGTTTAGCCATCGTTTCAACAGTCTGTCCACATTCCTCGGCCTCCCATCAGCCTCAGATAAGACCCTTCTGATTACTCACTTGCATGCCTGCCATTACACTCAAAAACATGCTGATCCTAATAGAGAGGCCCTGTCACCACGGATTTATAACTGCACTGTAGTGTCGCCATGTCCATCAAAAAGATGGCACTGCTGCCACATTCACAAATCGGCGACTCAAATCTTTACTGAGATTGTTAAAGTAACATGTTAACTCAGAGTTTTGCTTTTGTTGTAACGCAATCAGCGTGGGGACTTAGACATGTGGTTGTTTTATTTGTTCATAAAAGCACAACTGAAAACAAACAACAACAACAAAAACTTTAACAGTAAAGCTTATTAACTTTGTGGGGGTGGGGGGGGGGGTTGGCAAGCCATCTGCTCAACACTCATTGACCTCTTCTCTAAAAACATGTGGTTGTAATCCCATTTTTTTGCAACTTAAAATTACACGTTTCTGATCTCTTCATTCAGCAAGTTTACAGGATGTTAAGAGCAACACATCTGAGTTAAGAAAAAAACTAAAGCAATACAGAAATATAAATGAGCGTCAGCATGATTGGATAAATACATCTGACAAAATAAACTAAATTATATTTATAACATACAGTGGACACAAATATAAAAGAGTGACCTTGGTATCGGTACAACCTAACCAAGAAGTGAATGTGTCAGCTATTTTAAACTGTGTAAAACTAACAATAGAACATGATAGTGAAGGCAAAAGAATTAAAAAAAGATGAATGTAATAGTTTACACCACGGCACCGCACACATCACAAGACTCTGCATCTTGATTATGTTTTTCACAGCCATTTATGTTTCCTCCATCCACAAAGAAAGGGTTACATTATAATAATGCAAACAAAAGTAATAGAGTAAACAAAAGTGATATGCACACAAAATAATATGCTGTCAATCATGTGCATATACCTTTGAAGGTCTTCGAATGTTATATTCAATTTTTTTGTTAAATAAAACTTAAAACATCATACCTTAAGTCCTAAAATAAAATAGGGAAATAATGTGATTGGCTAAGCTATGTAATTATCTTTAAGTAATTCCAATGAATAAGACAAGGGAAAAGAAGTTTTTTTTAATCGTTCAGTTTAACTGGAATGGGTCCCATGGTTAATGTTTAAACTTTAATGTTGGATGTTTGCAACACAGTACACACATTTGTGGTACTGGACTAGAACCTGACCAAATATCTTTCAGCTTTCAGGGCTTCAGACAATCAGTGTAATCAGGAGCAAAAGTAAATAAATAAATAAATAAATAAATAAA